TGGGAAAACCGAAGAACGGCAGTAAATAAATCAGGTGGTAGCTGGGCGTCTGGTAGCATTATGGCAATGTGCCAAGGGAGGCACAGGCAATTTAAGAGCGTTCTCGTTTACCCAGAGAAATCCTTTATCGGAAGGGATGGAGTCCTAGGATGAAAACTAGCAAGGATTGCTCTGCTGGATCACGAAGTGGTAAAATGTTAATGACATTTCTGATGTACTGAAAGTGTAAAGTGCATTCCTGCAGCAGCACATTTTCCTTGGAGAACTTGCATCAGATCCTGACCAGGTCTGAACCCTCTCCAGCTTGTAAACAAGATGACAACCTGAGGCAATATACATATATAAAAAAAATAAAAAAACCCCCAAGGCCAGATGCTGCTTTCACAGAAATCAGTGGCATCTGGCTTAATAGAAAGCGGAACACTAATGATGAAAGGAATCTTGAAAACTTTGTTTCGAGCTTGATGGGAGAAGAGAAACAGTTTGGCTTGAGCTTGGAAAGCACCTTCTCTTCTCTGACCTCTCTCGCACGCTGGCTGGCTGGCTTCTTCCTTGAATGCAATTGTGTGTCTCTACACCTGCACCGAGGGAAAAGGCAAAAAGGTGGGACAAGGCAAAAAAGGGTGAGAAGGTCTGTGGCTCCACACTGTGCTTTTATGTCAACATCTCAAAAATTGTCCCTTGCAGATCCGTTCACTGCAGATTCAGACTCTCATAAAGAATAACTTGCCCTCAAGGCTTCATAATTTAACATTCCCGATGAAGAAATTTAACACAGTATTTTTTAGACACAGTTTTGATGAATTTATCAGAGGAACAGACTGTTTCACAATATTTGGGTTGCAGTAGAACTATGAGAGAGATTCTCCGGATTTTCTGTGCAGGAAGTGAGAAGGCAAAGAGGAGAAAGTAGCTTTAAAATGCTCTCTGGTTTTGTACACTGTGAATTTAATCTATGTGAAAACCAGAACAACTTCATGCCTTTGCGAGAGAATACAGGCCTACTATCACCTGGGAAATTTGTTAGTGCCAGCCCTCTGACATCTCGGATTAATACAGGATTGGGTGTTTTAATACTACGCTCCCAGTAAACTGGTGGGTGCTTAAAGCGATTTAAGGTCTAGGACTAAAATGATAATTATTTTGCTAACTTCAGAAAAACCACTGTGGAACATCAGTGGTAACTGCAACTGCAGTTTACCCCTAAAATATGCTACTAAGTGAAAATAATCTTTTTAAGAATTATTTAGACATTGGTTACTTTTTATGTCACTGAGACACTCTTTCAGGTCAGTAACAGTTACCGTGTGCTTACTTCCAACATCTCCAAACGCATGAAATATAAACTTTCACTGGAAAATAATTCACTGCAGATGGATCTTGGCTTCTGGCTGGCTGAATATTTGGCTAATAATGAATGTATACATCTAAGTTGTCTATACAGTTCTACATTAAATATGAAATGCAACTAATATTTAGGAAGTAGGAATAGTTTCAGCTTGTCCAGAACTGAATGCAATTATTTTTCTTTAAGGCTAAAAATGACTCAGTTTACCTTCTTACGTTTTATTTCTTATCTCCTCAGTGCAATGGAGCACTCACTTCAATATTGGATGTATTGAGTAGAGGCGATAAAAATGTTTGTGCAGTGCATAAATGAACTTTGAACAAATATTAATAGAACTATCTTGGCAACACGAAGGGCCATGATTGGACCCGTGACTTAACACCTGCTCCTGAAGAGCAACACGGATACATCCGCTAGCCATCTGACCATCACCTCTTCCGACTCCGGAGAGAGGAACGGATGTACGCATGAAAACCCAGTGACTGACATGTGAAACGTAAGGAACAGCGTGACGAAAGCTGGAATCTGAATATCTTATCCTTGCAGGAAAAGGATGAGATTGTTGGTCCAAGTACAGTCCAAGGCCAGCCTTCATGCCAGAGGGAGTGCCTCAGCAAGCGGATGCGGGTACGTAAGGGAGGACTGCATTCAGGCTTCTCTTTAATATTCTACCGCAGTGTCCCTAACCAATACATTCCTGTCGATTTGAGAAACATCTGCATTTTGAACTGGCTGTGTCGTGCATTTTCTGGTTGAAGAACACTCATAAGATTTTGAGAATGGTGGGTAATGCAGACCCGACACTCATTGTCCGGAAGGACAGACTGCCAGGAAGTCTGTGGCGGGATCAGAGGTGTGACATATCCTACAATACCAGGAAAACTACAGCACCAACTAGAGAAGCAGACAGACAGATTGGAGGACAGACATAAGGTCTGGCTCATTAGCTGGGGGAACTGTTACCTCGCACTGACCTTCAGTCCGCCTAGTTCTTGCAAACTTTCTGCATAATATCACTAGGAGAGACCAATTCCTGTCTGAAAGTCTTTGTCTACCTTCTTATTATCTTGTGTCCCGATTATTACAATGTCTTTTCCTATTCAGCTCCAGCTGACCCCTGGTGTCAATGAAGAATGCTGCTGCAGAGACTGTTTTTCATCATCATTTTTCTTACAGCATCGCTCTACTATTTTTTTTCCTCCTTCTCTTCCATACGACATTTTTTCCTTCACTTTTAAGGCCTTTGCTGGCTTATCCTCTTCCTCTCTCTTATTCCTTACTGAAACCACTCTGATCAGCCAGTGGTGCCAGTCTCCATCGTTTAATTGCTATCTTTTCAACCATGCACTCTTGGTCTCTGCTATGCTGCCCTTCATATTTTTATCTGGGCAACACCGCTTCTGCAAAGCCAGTTCGTTCACATCCCTCCCGCATATTCTTCTTTTAGGTTATGCTAGCACAAAACCGGGTAACAATTAGACTGCTGTGATACTGATACTCCGCATATCACGCTAGCCAATATCATCTCAGGGCGTTCTTGCACTACTTTCTCCGCTTGCAGCTACCATTTCTTTCCTTAGAATATAATACTATTTGTGGTAGAGACCATCAGTCTGCTCTGTATTTATATGGTCACTGATGAAGCAAAGTTCTGCTTCGTGATTGCGTTTATAGGAGCTATAATGATAAATAGCACATGTGCTAAAGTAGCGGGTTGGATTTGATGGAAAATGAGATGATATATGTAATTGCATACTACCACCAAATACGGAAAGAACTAGGTTGGTTTGCTCATGCTCTGCCAAGGTGAATCCATACAATAATAATCACGTCTTCTCCAGTTACTGGAAAAGACAGTTATTTGCAACATACATTCTAATGCTTCTTATTGCAGAGAAATACGTTTTTAAAAAGAATCGCAATATTGGCAGTTATTATGCAGTTGTGTGACACGCATACTTAAATACACATTCCTCTCAGTTTCACATGCAATTATTCAGTTTTACTTTCAATTTTAAAAGCAGTAAAATTATCACACACAAGACCTGTGGAAAAATTAATGTGCACGTAATTTAAGCCAATTTTTTTTCCTCTTCTTAAAGTAGTATAGAAAACTTTTCAGTTCACGTTTATATCTGTATGGTATATGGCAGAGCACATTCTGCCATCTGCTGAGCACAGTGGGAAATGCTCATATGGTCAACGTTGAAACGGGTAAAACTCTGCCTATCTATTCCTGTGCTATTTTAACCACAGAAAAGAACGTAATCAAAATAGCAGGCAGATCTAAGGAAGGATTTAAACCAGAGGCAAGAAAGTTCATTACAGCATTGCAGTGTGTTGGGAAGGGAAAAGATACTTGTGAAGTTTTGTAGAGAAAGGAAGAGGCTGTGTGACAAATGGAAAAATAATCAGATGTAAATACAGAAAATGAAGTCAATTTTTTTCTGGTGCTTTAGCAGTGGTACTTTGCCCTTTGGCACTGTGTATTTGGTAAATACTTTGAGCAGGACATTCACAGCAGTTTCTTTCTGAGAAGAATAGCATGTTCCTAATTGTTTAATGTTGTGGCTAAAATTTGTGTTTTAAATGCAAACAGAGAAACTTTATAAAACCAAAATAAACAAACTATTTAAGATCACAGCAGTAAGAGTTTGACATAACCTAGCTTCTCGTTGGAGCTTCAAGTGTCCCTCACTCCCCCTCACAGGCTGTGAGTCAGCAGGGAAGGAGGATACTTAGATTAGAAACACCAAACTGTGGAACAATGATTACACAAATGTTATTTTGGTTGCACTTCAGATGCTCCTGCAGTTAAAATCTGCTAAATTAGGAAAACTGCAGTGATCAGAACCTCAGCTGATATCTGTGGAGTTTTGGCTTGATGACCCCAAATCACAGCACCAAAACAAGTTTTCATACCACCCAAAAATATGATTTAAGTTTGACCCCCTTGTCACAAATAAGCACAGTCCAGAATCATTATTTCACTTTTCCTGCAGCACTGGCATTGTGAGCCCTGTCTCTGCTGCTTTTAGTTATCTGTTAATTGAAAAATCCTTATTGACGACATGAATCTGATCAAACAGGCTCCTGAAGCCTGAATTTCAGGCCGGGTCAGCATCTAGTGTAAACTGGCATGAAGTTGGTATCATCGCTGGAGGCATATGACAATACCGATGTCACTCCAACACTAATCATTTCGCCTTAAAAAGATTTTGTCATAACTCTCAGGACTCTTTGGTACATAGAAATGTGCACGCCCGAGTGGTAAACAAAAGCTTCTTAGTGACAGTTCTGTTATTTGTTCCAATACCGTATTCCAAACCTCCTCATCCTCTAAAGCCGCTGAGAAGATAATACTGTTTTTTCAAAAACATTGGTCCCAACAGGAGATGCTCTGCAGAAACAACCGGAGAGGAGATGTTTTCAGCAGAGCTCGCTATTTGAATTCCTGCATTATGTACGAATGCAACATGTGATGGTTGTTTCATCCTCTATTACACGCAACACAAGGAACCTTTTATCTTCTGTTTACTAGGACGGGAATAAATACAAAGAGTTAATATGTAACCGTCCTTTTGTGGATGCCTTTATTTTTAAGAGAAGAAACACTGGACCAAGGGTCATTTGGGCTTGTGGACTGGCAGCAATGTACTCCCTGGCACTGGTTGCGTGCGCAGTTGCTCTGAGCCACTGTGCTCTTGCAGCGAAAGGTAAGTGTCTTCCACTTTCTAACAACCAATACTATCCCGAAGCGTGAATGAGGGAAGCTGGAGAAAGCAACAGGATTTTAAAGCCTTCGGAAAATTCTGGTCAAGTGTTTTGAAGGGGAACATTCTCTGAAAGCTATTTCCTCTCTTTTCCCCTTCCATTCCTTCCTCTGTCTCTTCCTACGGTGAGGTGAATTGCTGTATACGAAAGTATAAAATGGAGGAAAACAGAAGAAATATTGACAGAAGTGGTGGAAACCAGGTTGCCTGCATGCCGGGGGCATTGCGTGTGCCAGGAGTTAACCTCGCTCCATCCCTCTGCCCACCTCCCTGCTCACCTCACTTTCCCCTCCGCTGCAGGGGCTGCCTGGCATAGTCCTGCCTTGCTTTTCTCCTCCTTTCCCCCACGCCAAGGGCTCTGGGCACTGTTTCATGTACTCCCTCCCTCTGATTGCCATGCATTTCTACAGCACGAGCTTTGTGTTCCTCTGTTCTCTCCCCACCATCTCAGCAGGAGCCTCTCTCCATGTCCTTTGCAGGAGCGCAGTCTGCACCCTCCATTCCTCCCTCACTGCTCCCCTCCTGTTCGCACTCTCCAGGGGATGGGTTGTTCACGCCGTCAACATGTTAAAGCTGTTTTGGAATCAGAACTGTCTGATGTAACAGTGTGTTTGCCCCACTGAACAGAAAAATTGGGGAAACCAGAGAAAAATAAATTTCATTTAAAAAAAGTAATAATCTCATTTCAGGCTGACCCCACCAAACTAATTCAGATTAAAAATGAAATGTATTAGATTGCTTCTAAGTCCCTCTCACCCTCTTTTGTCCAAGATAATTTACCATAATTGACTCACTTTGCAGAATACCTTCATAAATCCATTTTGAAGCAAAAGTAAATTTTAGTAAAAAGAAGTGACACAAAATCTAACTGGGGCCACTGGTAGATCCGCCGAGGAGAAGAGGAAGAACACATTTTTTTCTGGCTAATACTTATAGCAGCCATCAGCTGCCTCAGTAAGTTACGTACCTGTAGATTACAGAAGGACCGTTTAGCTCCGTGCAGGAACGTACTATAGTCGAGGATAATACAGAAACCTGTGCTTCCAGTTGAGAAATAAAATCAACTCCAACTTTCTGCCCAATTTCTCGTAAAGCGTCTCCTTTCCTCCAGTCTGTCCCAGGCCACCAGAAGTGCTGTTTGCCACAATTGACGTAAACAAAAGCGTGTATGATGTGGGTGAGGAAATAGAATATACCTGTAGGCCTGGGTTCGTCCCCAATAACGGCCAAAGGAAGTACACCTGCCTCCCGACCGGCAAGTGGCCTCTCAATACGCTGTTGTGCCTACGTGAGTAAAACAAAGTAAATCCTCTTCCTAGACTTTACGCCACCTTGCTGACATGCCATGCACTGACCTGAAAAGGATATTTTGTAGTCCACGTGATTAATCATCTGGTGTATTTAAACTGATATACTTCTGTTTTCCGATTGTTCTTTCCTTACTTGTCGGAAGACAACTGGGTGTGGGGGAGAAAAGGGGCAAGTAACAGGGGAAGGATCTTCCCACACACGTCCCATGCCTTCCCTTAAGCCTCTGCTCCCGGAAGGGGATGGAGATTGGACCCAGACAAGGTGAACCTTAATCTGACTCAGCCCAGCACTGCTTATACTCTAATGATATATGCTGCTTGGTAACACCTGCATTTATCATATCCCTCTTTGTTCATTTTCATCATTTCATTGCATAGAAGTCATTTTCCTCAGACAATCAAGTGTTAAAAACTACTTAATCACAAAAACTTTGAAACTACTATATTTTGATAGAAATGTAGAATAGTTAGACTTACGAAATGTAGTACACAGGAGTGGAGAAACATGAAAGACAGCAGGACCCCTTTAAGACCAACTCGTTTCCATTATCCTAGCTTCATGCCTTATGAAATAATATTATCCATTTTTTCTTTAATTAACAGCAAAGAGATGTCCCAGTCCTGGACCCTTGCAGCATGGAAAACTTGATTTTATAGACCACCACTATCAGAGTTCTATAAATTTTTCATGTGAACCAGGGTAAGCGTTCCCTTCCTCATGCTGTTAAATAAATAACTTAAACCACAATATTACATTCTAGTATCACCTGCTGCAGCATTGCAAGCCAGGGAACTTAGAAAACTGCACGTAAAAGCCCACCTCCACTTCAGAAACTAAAAAAAAAAATTGCATATCTGGTGATCATCCTCTGTTCAGTCTTGGCTATAACATTCTGGAGCTTTGCTACTCCAAAGCAATGTCTTACAGATATGGAAACCATCAAAATAGCAGAGATTTTATGCAAAGATTTATTCTGGACTGCTTTCCCCTACATTTTAAATCCTCTTATTACATCATGAGATGAAATCCTACAGCAGAGAGAAGATAATCTCCATCTGAGTTGTTATGCTGTTTGGCTCTGGAGACTGAAAATTTTGTTTCTATCCCTTTCCGAGCTCAGTAAATGAAAACCTGAGGTTAATCCTAATTTGGTCCCTGAAGCGAATGCATTTTTACTCAAGGCTACTTGCCAGTTTTAGAAATGGGGATGCATTTAAAGAAAAATAGTTATGGTAAATGCAGGAAAATATTTGATAGTAGCACGCAGTTCATTTTACTTGGGTAATTAATTAATAAACAGTGCCTGCCTGCAAAGGTCATAGGTGAGACATAGCCTAGAGTTCACTGAAAAACATCAACAGCCTCAGCTACCTCCTTCTTCTGCCAAACAGGAGCAAGATAAGGATTAAATAAATTCAACTATGACACCAAATGTAGCAATGGGATTTGATTTAATTTTGCTAATTATAATTTACTGGTTTTCAGCTGTGTGATACTGAAATGATAGATACACAATGAACATTTCTTTAAAACTCGGAGTAAGTGCTGATAATGTAAGTACAGAGGATGGGAGAGAAGATTTAGAGTGCATCTGGAAATTATATTGGGCTATCTTGGCATTAAAATAAAATAATGCACCTCAGTGACTTTAGTTCTAAAGAGGGCTGAGTTCTTTGCAACAGTTTGATCCTAATTGCCATAATTAGCTAGGAACGCCTCCCAGGAAACCATAACATTTACATTAGCAATCACAGATCAATGCTCACTACTTACACATATCCACAGTATTAATCACTTGTAGAAATTAATATGTAAGATAGAATGTTATTTGAAGCGGCAAAACATCTTGTTGTATCAAGCCTTTTGTCTGGGTACTTGCAATACCTGAATACTAACAATTTTCTACATTTGAACCTAAACTTCCTTTGAGGTCAGTATGTGCTAGAACTCGAGAAGGATTTCAGAACTGGACTCTTAATGGTAACCTTTCTTGCAAAGAACAACTCGATTCTCCTCTGTGTTCGTTAAGCTTTCTGATAACCAGGTCTTCTTGTTTTCAGTTACAACCTTGTTGGGACAAGAACGAGCCAATGCATGGCAGATGGAAAGTGGAGTGGAACTCTTCCACAGTGTCAACGTACGTGTTTAAATACTGAAGAACTACTCTATCCTTATTATAGCAAGATTCCTTTGCATTGCTCAGGATTCCATATACTCTTATTCAGAGGCCTCCTATAGTGCCGTGCAAAAAAATGGTTAGGAACAATCAAGCAGAACCCTGTATGTTTGGTTTTAGATGTGTGGATTCCAGTTTTAGAGAAATAGAGTTTAAAGGTCCGTCCAAAAGGCCAGGATCAGGGATGCTATTTACAGCTGAACGTAAGATGCTTATCCACTCAAATTCATTCTCCCTGTGTATAAAAAGGGGATATTGTCATGCTTTTGCAACTGTTATATGTGGTTTTGCTATAACCTGTCCTGCATAAACACCTTGCTGAAAAAGCAATATACTGCATAATATTCTCTGAAAAATATAGCAAAAATCATGAATTAATTACATACTCTAAGGCTCCTGAGACTTTTAATCTGAACTTTTTGTTTTGTTAGCTACGCTTCCGTAAAGGGCAGTGTGGGTCAATTTGGTTATAAACGTGTTGCTCCTGTAATTCTAGTAATAATTTGATCTTTAAGCTTTAATTTCTATGAATGCTGTGCTTTTCTAGCGGTGACTTGTGCACCTCCCTCGCTTCCTGAATTTGGAGTCCTTTCCTACCGTCGCTTAAAACCTGGAAATATTTCTAATTTCCTGGACACGATTACTTTTGAATGTGTACCTCCTCTCGCACTTATTGGGAATGAGACGGCTACCTGCATGGCCAACGGGAACTGGAGCAGCATTCCAGAGTGCAAGGGTAAGTAACTTATTTTTGTCAACACCTAAAAATATTCCTAGAATTGTATATACAAAACTATATGAACCTTAGTAATTTATTTTTACAATTGTTATTGCAAACATACAGTAGAATTATTCTGAAAGTCAGACTCGTGAATGCAAGGCGATTGCTAACAAGATTGCACGCAACATGGGATTGACAAAATATTTGCTGCAGGTATAAAGGTTATATAAACAAAACCTGCTAAACGTAGTTCACAGTGGGGAATCAGAGCCTGGCCTCCAGAGCGCCGCGAACATTTTATTCTACTAAGTGCTGGGATTAATCTAATCTAAGAAATAGACAACCTTACCCTTAGTCCTAAGAACTTCACTGGTTTCAGTGAAACTATGCCACATTTAAGTAGTTTTTGGATATAACCACAGATTGCAATAGATGTATATTTAAAACAAGTAACATTTATTTATTGTGGTTTTTTAAACTATCTTTCCTCTGGCTATGTTTTTCTGTGCAAGAGGCTGAAATGAACCACCGTGAAAGTTGCATGTATTTTTCAAAGTATATAGTGTGTCTTTCAGAACCGCAACACTGATCAAGCTTTGTTTTCACTTTTGTACCGCAGTTGTCACATGCCCCACTCCAACAGGAATAGAAAATGGATTCATAGAGTTTGCTGTTCGTAGAACATATCACTATAATGAAAGCGTCAGCTTCGGCTGCCAGTCCAGCTACGTGCTGGATGGACCTAAGCATTCCCGATGTGAAAACACTGGAAACTGGTCCACAAAGCCAACCTGTAAAGGTATACATACACTATCTGTTAGAAACCACGTGTCAAATGGAATTTTCCTAAAAGACCGCCACTCTGATTGTTAATGAGATCTTATACCTTTGTGCAAGAGCTGTCCTCAAAAGAAAACCAAAATAGTAATTTCAAGGCCCTGATATGCTAAGACTGCTCCCAACACTGAACGTTGTATGACATGATGTATCTGAATTGACTTCAATAATCAGCCATGTAACTTTATTTGTCCGAGTATTTTCTCTCCTCTTATTTAATATAATTAGAAACTTTACTGAGGCTGGATTTTCACTGGAAACTTTTGACCCTATACTTAGGGGTATACCTAGGGAAGTACCATGTACATGTGGGACGCATTATTTTTCATTCCCAAGTGTCACCTGTACAGATTTCTGATGGGATCTATCTACCCACTTTTCAAAATAGAGTTCTAATTATCCTTACATGTTGCTTATAACTGGATTGTTTTACAGGACCATGTAAAATACCAGTTAAGAAAGCTGTAGTATTATACAACGGCGAGAAGAAAAGAGTTCAGAACGACCTTAAGGAAGGCATTCAGCATGGTGAAACCATATCCTTCTTCTGCAAGAATAAAGAAAAATCCTGTGCCTACACGGTAGCTGTTCCATGTGTGGATGGCAACCTTACTCTCCCCGCCTGTTTCAAAGGTACGAGCTAGGCTAATCATAAAACAGCTTCTGTTGGTGGAATAACAAGTACTTTAGTGTGGGGGCAATGTCATAATTCATCTTCGAGCCCTATTTGACTGGCTAATTCATCTGCCTTGTACTAAACTTATTGGCTATTTAGGAAGAAATGGCCTGAGAGAAGGAGAGAATGCACAGCAAGACTTTTCTCTTGGATATGTCAGAGCCCTGCTTTAATTCCCGCTCTGTTCTTAGATGTTATTTAGAGGTGGCCTAGCCCAAACAAAAGGCCATACGTAAAGTATTCCGGGATTTCATGAATCCTCGGATCAACGTCTTCTACAGGGGAAAAGAGCCTGAACGCTGCTGCAGCCTTGAGAACCTGATGTACGCACTCCCATTCTGGTGAAACACTCCCACGTTATGCTGATTGCTAACACACTGGTTCTGACTTTGGGCCAAGAGTGTTAAAAAGCAGCTGACAGCTGTAGTGAGGAATTGATGCTGGAGGAACTCGTTCACAGGCACACAGGTTTTTAGAATAAATAAACAGACTAAATACTGAAGTTTGTTAGCAAGAGGAAATGCTTTGCATTTGTTTTATCAATATCCCTTGCATAGAATATTCCTTGTAAGTTTTGTTTTCATTTGTAAGTGAAGGAACAAACACAGCCTATGCATGATGAAAACATCTTTCCTCATATTTGGCTTGGCTTGTGATGGATGTAGCTTAGCTTTCATTAAAATAGAAATTAAAATAGTGTATTTCTTCTAGCGCTTTTACTATGATGCAAAGATTGATTGCTCACCTAGCAGGGTCCATAAGACTTACTGTTTTCAGCTATCACACGTTTCAAGAATTTAGCCCAAGTTCTTAACTTGTTTTCAACAGAACGTGGCTTTTTTTCAACTCTTGTGAAGAAGGACCCATCAGACATGAAACCATGTGAAGACCAAGCATGAATCAGAGAATACAGCACTACATCTCTGCCTTACTGAGACAAAACGTTATATACGAAAGGAAAACTTACATTCTGTGAGTGTAAATTTCCAGGTGAACTCCGGACTCTGTGAATGCGGTCTCAGCTATTTTCCCAACCACCATCCCTACCAGTCTCTTCCACAAGCTATCACACATTGTTTCAGCCATTAACTTCCATTCTCTTTTCTCTGCCTTCTTCAAAATCCCCTCAATACTGCTTCTCTTTCCATATTTCCAACATTTATGCAATTGTAAATGACTTTCGCAACAGCAGTCCCTTTACAATAAAGTAATTTTCAGCCAATAGTGTGTTCTTATTTAATATTACCTAATCATCAATCAAATTATTTAGCTCTTTACTGATTTATACAGAAAGGCCTTCATCATTAGTAATTAGCTGGGTTCTGATTCCATTACCGCTCCCCTGTGACAGGGAGTGGACCTTTAATTATAGATAAACAGAGGGTCATCAGCCTAGGATTTTCCAGAATTTACGTAAGTAGAAAGACTGAGATTTCCAAATGAGTTTAGAAGCCAAGTCTCCAACCATGGTTTAAGTGTCAATAGCATCAGATAAAGGGGTCTTTTACACTTTTTAAAAAAAATCACTAAAGTTAGTAAGACTATTTATGTTTTTGAGATTCTAACTTCACCTGAAACTGTTGTTTTAAACAACTGTTAATTTTTACCACTGTTTCAATATTACGCAATGTAACAGATTCCTTTTTTAAAAAAAAAACAGAAGTGTACACCATTGAGCAACAGTAATGATTTCTGGTCATTAAGTAGCTTTGAAGCAAACTGTACTTTTAATTTGATTTATGATACAGGTAGCTCACTGGTATGATCCAGTCTGGCAAGTTTTGTGCTTATGTCTGTATTTCCATTCAGCAAAAATAAGTATAATTTCAACACACTAGAAAGTGATAGAGAAATTTTTGTTGTACACTTATAATAAATTGTCATGAGTCATACGTGGTTCCCTCTGAAGTACAAAAGCTTTCTCTGTGATTAAAAGCAGTAGACTACACAGCAAGCAAGCTACTGTAGAACTTTTTAAAAGGACCATTTAACATTAAGATCAAACTACTTGTAAGATGCTACAGCTACCGTTAAAAAACTCTGAACGTACTCTAATTATCTTTTTTTTTTTTTTGAAGGCTGCACATGAATATTTTAATAGTATGACTGATATAATTTGTTCTTATACTTCCTATTTTTAAGGAGAGATTGAGGCAGCTATTATTAAGTATTTAATAGTTTGTACTCATCAGCAATTTAATTCTCTAATGTAGAGAGAGACAGACAAATTCACGCTGGCAACTGAAGGGGGTATTTCGTTGGTACAATGTGTGCTGTGTTTTGGTTCCTAACATGTTTAAGCGGGATCCTTGAATGACGTTTGACTTACAGGCCAAGATATTCCTAACTACTTCTAACACATACATAGATCAGCTGGCAGGAACCTGTCTGTTTGGAAATCTAGTCTAAACGTTGTGTGGATACGTCTCTGGGGTCGGGATGTGCAGGACGGCAGCTGAGATACCAAACACAGTTTAATATTAACTTGTCTTTCACAGCAAAACACCGTGAAGTTGGCGTAAGTAAAGTTAGCGTTCACTGCCACAGAAACACTACTTTTCCCTGAAATGATTTGTATTTTGCACAAAAACAGTTGCCCCAGCAATGTTCAGATTTTTCTAAGCAAATTTTCCCAGTTCTACTCACCTGTACAGCAGGATAACAACTGATCACGTCAGCTGGCCCTGCTCCTAGCTGGATATGCAGTATTTGCATAGTTAAAAGAATCACCCTTAGGAGCCAATGTTCATACACTGACCCGGTAAGTCTTTGAAGTACTGAGGTGTTTGTGAATCACAACTTTTCAGACATGAAAGGTTTGCTTAGAAAGTCTGAAAAATAATGTGTTGCAACTAGAGGTGTTCCAAAGGCTGGTATGAGTGAGTGAAACCCGCCTTTTTTTCTTTTTTAAGATGTTTGAAAGCACGCCTTAAGCTGTGCTCATGTTACTTGTGGCAACCTGCTGAGACGGTTACAGAGATAAGAGAACATGGTAAAATGAGATGAAAAAAAAAAAGTACTGAATGTGTTTTACTTAAATGAAGATATTTTTACAATTCAAATTGGGAATTTGTTCTGTATTCTGGTTGGGATATCTATGTGTATCTAATTGTGTATCTATAGTGATTGCCTCCGGGGGGTCAGTGCACATCAGTACTCATCATGTCCAGGCTGCAGCTTTGGCTGGGGACGAGACCTCGGTCACTTCTTGAATCCGTAGTTTTTCTTTCTTTTTTTCAAGAAAGCTTCAACCTCTCTGGCCACCCTGCTCTGCGATGGTAAGCAGACCCAGAAACTGGATCTGTTCTCTCAGGAAGTTTGTCCTGGAGTACTGGTTCCAATGTCGTTGGTTCTGCTCTGCCTCATGTTTTTTCACCACATACCAGCAAATTCAGTTTTTCAAAGTATTTTGTGATGAGCACGACAGAGATATATTCAAATCTGAAGGCACTGCACAGATACGTATCAATGAACAACAACATACAAAAAAGTTGGCTCAGAAATTCCAACCCTTTTCGGCCGTCAAAAAGCAGATTTGCAAAGCTGGACAGAAATGCAAACCTCACCGTATCACCCGGCCAATATGGTGCCCTCGAAAAACCTGCCTGGAGAGAGTCATGTTGTTAAGTCCATTCAGCCTCCCATATTCTACCAACTAACAAAACTGTTGTCTGTCTCCTGTGATTTGGACTGACTTGGACAAACTGATTTCATAATGATCACAAAATTCCCATGGCAAATCTGGGTATCTATCTGAAGTGGTGATTCAGAGGTGGAAAGTTCTGCAAGTTCAGCTATTTGAGCAAGTCAGCCAGCCGGTAGTCTTACTGTGTTGCAAGAATCTACCACCACTATTTTAAAACAGATTAAAAGGAGTCTTAACTTCAAAAATATATTAAATGGCAATTATTTTAAATTTGGGATTTAAAGAGAATAAATAATCTTTGTAATCTACTCATGAGATTCTACCATGGATTAAATACTCCATCGCTGATTTTTGCACTGCCTCTATGCAAATGTTGATTTAATGAGCTATGTGCAATCTGAGTAGGCAACCAGTGTAGCTGTCACAGCTATCACCAAATGAGCCCTAACGCAGAATCATTCTGCTGAAGATCAGCTGAGAAATCAAAGAAAACAGACAATTTTCTACCATACATTTAAGAAATTCTTGTTTGATGTATATGTGCATGTGAATCAAGCTTAGAAGAGTTGAAGGGTTTAGTCGTTTGAGATAAAAGCGCTTTAGATGCTATACACACAGTAAGGTCAATGACAGATTTTGGGGAGAGAGAAATAATTAATTGACTCAAAGAAGTCAGATGTTTTATTTGGGATGATACATACTTACAGTTATTTCATTGACTCTGGAAGAGGCTGAAGAGCTGAAAGGACTGGAAGATATCTCTAATTCTTTTGGATTAATAGATGGTTTTCTTGACACGGCTACAAAACAACAAGTGTAACCTATGTCCTTTGTGTAGAAACGTCAGGCACGTGCTTTTAAATTTTTCTATCCCCTCCTATTTTCTGTCCTTGGGATAGAACATAAATAACCCATGAAAAATGAGCAACATTGAGCATATTAAATGTTTTAAAGTGAACTCAAAATCACCCTATTATCTACAAGGCTATACCTGAACAAATTTTACTTGGAAATACTCAGAAACTGTGGCTAAAATTGGCTCTGCACCTGCAATTTCAGTCTCATATCCGCTCACGTTTCTGACACCCACTATGGAGCTACAAAAACATCGCTCAGGCTCAAAAGCTACTTCTGATTTACTGACCTTTAATTTCAGAGTGGCAAATATTTTTCACTAAGCTTTGAGTGGAAGCATTTTTCCCCCCCCGATATTGATCATAACGAAGATATAAAAATAGACATAGCCAATATCCAACTAGCAGCAATTAAAACAAATAAACACATCCCAAACAACCCGGAGTTATCTCCCGCTGCTTCGGCACCTTCCCTTTCCTAGGCCAGGCTCTCCTGTGGTGCTGAGGCGCCGGCCCTATCCCCTGCGCGACGAGGACCCCGGCCAACCTGACGAAATTTCTGGCATCTCCCACTTCTCCCTTGGTGCCCCCTCAGGCTCTTGAGGTTTTTAACGCGCGTGCAGGATTGAGCGGATAAATAAGTATTTGTCAGTGTAGGCACATGTATTTTTGGGGGGGAAGAGCGCTGGGCGTAGCCATGGGCGCAGTTCGGTGCGGTGGGCCCCGCTGCGACAGCCGCTGCTGACGGCGCGCGAGGTGACCTTAATCACTCCGGACAGTGATTAATGATCACAGGCAGCGGCCGCGTTTCCGCGGTGTAACGGCACCGCCTTCACCGCACAGTTTCACTCTCTCAAGCCCAAAGAGTTTTTTTTCTGTACCGGCTTCTGGCCACGAACAACTCCCCAAACTCAACC